GGGCTGGGAATAGAATTTGCCTATAGAATCACATTTATATCATGTCCCTGATTGGTGGGCCTATTGAATCACAACATTTATATGGCGTCCCTGGATGGGCCCATTAATTGTAACATTTATTTAGCGTCCCATGTGCTGGGCTCATTGAATGTAACATTTAATTGGTGTCTCAGTTTGGTGGTCATCGAATATAACGGTCATTCAGCAGATATATGAGAATAAACTTAGAGCCATTATTAAAAACCGTGTGAAAGCATTAACATCAGCTCTCACCACTCAATAATGCAATCTTAAAGTCACAATCTAAGAATCGAATACCAAATGTCTTAGCTTATATGAGAAGAAAATATAACTTTGACATTCTTGGACTATCAAAATATAGAAATTTAACAACATCTTATAACTCCAAAATATCTCTTCAGCTAGTGATAACCAACTTTACTTCAAAGCAAAACTCAGATGATTCAAATCAATCTGATCACTTTGGTCCAACTAAAACTAAAATATTTAACTCCCAAGTTAGTCTTATCGTTCAACCAAAATTTATGCACATCTATAACTAGATGCTGCCATTTGTGGTTTCTATAACCACATCCAAAAAATGAAAACTCCCAAATTATGCTATTTCAAAGTCACCTCCAGTCCAAAATAGGTTAGATGCCTCGAAATTTAACCTAAATCCCTTTGTCTGTTAGTCTGATAAAACTCCTAAACACTTATTTTATATTGTGTAGAACAAGATTTGTTGCCAGATTTAACGTAAGTTAATCTGTGGTCCTACCCGACCGAAAGGGGATGGATTAAAATTAAATTGCTCAAAATCCCTTAAAGAAAGGTGAATCATAAGCTAAGTTGCTAGTAAATCCTTAACGGTTAAGCTTTGCACCAAACTGCTTATAAATCCTCAGAGACAGGTAAAGCATGTGCTAAAATAGCTAGTAAATCCTAAACAAGGTGTAGCATTTTTAACACTGAAATAAAGTGTTTCTTTGATATCACAGAAAAGGGTGAAGCATAAGCTATAGAGCTAGTAAATCCTAAATAAGGTGTAGCATTTCTAACACTGAAAGAAAAGTGTTTCTTTGATATCACAGGTTTAAAGATAACCCGTGACCTGTTTCTACACACATAAAAATAAGTCCTTACAATATGTATATGTAAATATACAAGTATAGTGGGTACTGACTGGATTGTGTTTTTTTGAAATTTCTTCATAACTTGTGTTTTTGTGCCATCAGCTGAAAATGGATCCAAGCATCCTCAATTCTGGGCACATCATTGACTCCATAGGTACAGAGAAACAGAAACACATTGTTGCAAAGCTAATCCACTTATCTCCAGAAAAGCAGGATAACCTAAACAATTTTAACCTCAGCCTATGTGAAGAAAAGATTCAAGAATTAATTAACTTAATTCAAAGCCCAAATGGAGACTTTCTGATAACAGATGTACTCTGTGAGCTCACGCTACTTTATCAGCTTAAATCCCAAATAATAGCTAAACAGTACTCTGAGTTAGAAGCCAAATATCAGATGATCTGCCACAGAGTAAGTGCTGCAAACATTTTATTGTCAGGAGCTGACAAGATCAAAGACCCATGTGGCCAGACTGACCATGCCTCAGAACAAACGGTGACCCCCTTCTTTGAGGAGCTATGCAATAAACAAAGCAAGCAGACTTTGAATCAGCAGGAGGTCACCCCAGTTGAAAGGAGGACAGTTCCTGAAGCAGATACAAAGTCCCTGAACTCTGAGTTAACACTAAATAGATCTGAAGGTGTTCAAAGTCAAAGTAGTGTCGCAGACAAAGTGAAACAAGAAGATCACTTGGTAAACTCAAGCGGTTTAAAATTTTGCAAAGGACAGCCATGCAAACCAATCTCTGTCTCACACTCCGTTGACCGAGCATCAAGTGCCAAAGTTCACAGCTTGAATAACTCCAAGGAGAACCAGTCTCCCTTGTGTCATCAAAGGTTAGCTCAAAACCCCCAACCACTTAATGAGCAGAACCAGCTTCCTGACGGGCCAGGTCCACCGAGTGACCATAGAATTCAAAAAATTGAGTCCGTGGCCAAAGAAATTGATATTTTTGACCCAGAAAATCAATACTCCAACATAATGGATTATCTGCAAGAAGTTGAGCACTGTCTAAAAGACTTGCCATTTCCTTCTTCTCGTGAGAAATTGAAGCAGATTTGGAAAACAACAGCTAGAAGCGTCCATGTTTTCATAAAATCTCTTCCTCCAAAAATCAGAGAAAGTTATTCAGCTCTTTGTCAAGCCTTAAGAGAAGAATATTCTGGTTACAGAGGTCTGGCGTTAGCAACGCTTGAGGCATCTCTAGTTCTCCAAGGAAAACATGAAACACCCAGAGAATATTACTTTCGCTTGAGACAGGTTTATTTTGAGGGCTGCAGTTCTCCATATATTGACGAAGAAGATCACACATTTAAAGCATGGTTCATCCAAAATCTACATAAGAGTGTATGATATGATGTAGCAATGCATTGCAGGATAGAGAACCTTTCTATGCAGGAAACTCGCAGATATGCTCAGCTTGTTTGGGAAATACGCCTCAAATCAGATAGATTTCAAAGCAAGCTTAGAGTCTTTAACCTTCAAAGAACAGGACCAGAAACAGACACAGATTCAGTTCCCCAGTGGTTCACCAAGATGAAGGTCATAAGCCTTCACATCACAATGCAAAACCAAAGGTTTACAC